AAGTATATATATATATATATATATATATATATCATTCAGTGTATTATAAGATACCTTCAATTTCATTTTAAGTCAAAATCATGTGTATTTTAATGGGCATTTTTAAATTAAAATATTATATCGGTAAAATGCCAAATAATTAATTTTTTGTCTATATTTTGTCTTTTTTTCTTTATTGGGATAGGCGACTTATAAAGGGTAAGTTTTGGGCAGATTTTGTAGGGTACTTAAAAGGGAGAAGTTTTGAGATGGATGAGTGGTCGGACAAGAAATGATAGAATTCGAAATGAATATTTTTTTAAAAAAATGAGGTGTGGAATAAAAGGCGATGAGATGAGATAGAGCAGACTTAGGTGGGTTGGCCATGTGTAAACGAGTTAGTTCAAGATGAAGGATTAAAAAGTGCAACAGATAGGTCTAAAAAGATATAAGGTATTATGGTCTCACTGAGGGTATGACCCTTAATATAGCAAAATAGTGGATCAGTATTCGTGTAGCCAACTCCAATTAGTTAAAAAAAAGCTTTCACGACGTGATGATATAGGGTACCTATTTTACAATATTAAATTGTTGATAACTATAGCATGTAGGTTGTTACAATAAGGGACCTTATTTATAGAGAGAAAGAAAGGCAAGGGACCTTAAAGAAAGAAAGGGAGTATGTGGGGAGTGAGATAGAGAAGGAAAATCGAAGAGATAGATATATTTAAAGAGAAAATCAAGGAGACGGATGATTGACCATTTGTTTCGTTGAACATGTAGCGCTTCCTTATAATTTTAGATGAACATGACACATTCCTTTATTTTATATGTGTTATGGAATAGAGTAAATTATTCCAAAAGAATATAGATTGTTGGCATTGATGAACATATGGTTGTTTTTTTTTTTTTCATTTATTTGTTAACATCATCAGAGGAAGGGGAAGGGGAAGGGGAAGCGTGGTGGGCTCATAACCCACAAGTCTCAGGATCGAAACCTGACTCTGACAAAAAGCTCATAACCCACAAGTCCTAGGATCGAAACCTGACTCTGATAAAAAGCCCATAACTCACAACTTAGGATCGAAAACTGACTCTGATAAAACGCTCATAAAAAACCCATAACCCACAAGTCCTAGGATAAAAAACTGGCTAAAAACCCATAAGCCCATAACCCACAAGTCCTAAGATCGAAAACTGACTAAAAACCCATAATCCAAGGATCGAAAACCCATAGCCCACAAGTCTTAGGATCGAAAACTGACTAAAAACCCATAACCCACAAGTCTTAGGATCGAAAACCCATAACCCACAAGTTCTAGGATCGAAAAAAATCAATAAAAGCCCATAAACCATAACCCACAAGTCCTAGGATCGAGTCCTGGGATCGAAACCTCACTCAGCCCACTAGTCCTAGGATCGAAACCTGACTCTGATAAAAATCCCATAACCCACAACCTGACTCTGATAAAAAGCCCATAACCCACAACCTGACTCTGATAAAAAACCTTAAAAAACCCATAACCTACAAGTCCTAAGATCGAAAACTGACCCTTATAAAAAGCCCACAACCCGACTCTGATAAAAAAACCTTAAAAAACCCATAACCCACAAGTCCAACAACCTGACTATGATAAAAAACCTTAAAAAACACATAACCCACAAGTCCACCAACCTGACTCTGACCATCAACCTGACTCTGATAAAAAACCTTAAAAAACCCATAACCCACAAGTCCTAGGATCGAAAGCTGACTCTGATAAAAAGCCCATAACCCACAACCCATAACCCACAAGTCCTAAAAAGCCCATAGCCTAGGATTGAAACTTGACTCTGATAAAAAGCCCATAAAAAACCCATAACCCACAGGTCGAAACCTGACTATGATAAAAAGCCCATAATCAACCTGACTATGATAAAAAGCCCATAACCGATAAAAGCCCATAACTCACAAGTCCATCCTAGGATCGAAACTTGACTATGATAAAGTCCTAAAATGATAAAAAGCCCATAACCCACAAGTCAAGATAAAAACCCCATAACCCACAAGTCCATCCTAAGATCGAAACTTGACTATGATAAAGTCCTACATGATAAAAAGCCCATAATCCACAAGTCAAGTCATAGGATCAAAACCTGACTATGATAAATTCTTAAGATCAAAACAAGTCTTAAGTAACCACTATGATAACCCACAAGTTCTAGGATCAAAAGCTGACTATGATAAAGATCGAAACCTGACTATGATAAAGTCCTAGGATCGAAACAAGTCCTAGGTAACCATTATGATAACCAACAAGTCCTAGGATCGAAACAAGTCCTAGGTAACCACTATGATAAAAGGCATATAATCCACAAGTCCTAGGATCGAAACCTGACTATGATAAAAAGCCCATAACCTACAAGTCCTATGATCGAAACTTGACTATGATAAACAACTCACCAGTCCTAGGATCGAAACCTGACTATGATAAAAAGCCCACCAGTCTTAGGATCCAAATTTGACTATGATAAAAAACCCACAACCCACAAGTCCTATGATTGAAACCTGACTATAATAAAAAGCGCACCCACAAGTCCTAGGATCGAAACAAGTTCTAGGATCGAAACCTGATTATGATGAAAAGCCCATAACCCACAAGTTAGGATCGAAACAAGTCCTAGGATCGAAACCTGACTATGATGAAAAACCCATAACCCACAAGTTAGAATCGAAACAAGTTCTAGGATCGAAACTTGACTATGATAAAAAGCCCATAACCCACAAGTCCTAGGATCAAAACAAGTCCTAGGATCGAAACCCATAACCGACAAGTCATAGGATCGAAACAAGTCATAGGATAGAAACCTGATTATGATAAAAAACTCATCCCACAAGTCCTAGGATCGAAACAAGGTCCTAGGATCGAAACAAGTCCTATGATCGAAACCTGACTATGATAAAAAATCCATAACCCACTAGTCTTAGGATCGAACCCTAACTATGATCCTAGGATCAAAACCTGACTATGATAAAAAACCCATAACCCACAAATCCTAGGATCGAAACCTGATTATGATCATAGGATCGAAACCTGACTATGATAAAAGCCCCATAACCCACAAGTCCTTGGATCGAAACGATAAAAAGCCCATAAGATCGAGCCCATAACTCTAACTCACAAGTCCTAGGATCGAAACCTGGATATGATAAAAAGCCCATAGGATCAATCCCATAACCCTAACCCACAAGTCCTAGGATTGAAACCTGAGTATGATTAAAAGCCCTGACTATGATAAAAAGCCCAAAATCTGCAAGTCTAAGATCGAAATGACTAAGATAAAAAGCCTATAAGATCGAGCCCATAACCCTAACCCACAAGTCCTAGGATCGAAACCTGACGATGATAAAAAACTCATAACCCAAAAGTCCTAGGATTAAAACCTGATTATGATAAAAAGCCCATAGGATCGAGCCCATAATCCTAACCTACAAGTCCTAGGATCAAAACCTGACTATGATTAAAAGCACATAACCCACAAGTCCTAGGATCGAAACTGGACTCTGATAAAAAGCCCATAACCCAACTATGATTAAAAGCCCATAACCCAAAAGTTTTAGTATCAAAACCTAGCTCTGATAAAAAACTCATAACTCACATGTCTTAGGATCAAAACTTGACTATGATAAAAAGCCCATAGCCCACAAGTCTTAGGATCGAAACCTGACTATGATAAAAAGCTCATAACCCACAAGTTTGAAACCTGACTATGATAAAAAGCCCATAACCCACAAGTTTGAAACCTGACTATGATAAAAAGCCCATAGGATCGAGCCCATAACCCACAAGTCCTAGGATCAAAACCTGACTTTTTAGAAGTCCTAAGATTAAAACCTGACTATGATAAAAAACCCATAACCCACAAGTCCTAGGATCGAATCCTGATTATGATAAAAAGGCTATAAGA